TCAATACTCTTCTCAACACCACGATTCAAAGGCATAAATTCTCTATTAGTCTTATTTATTGTCCAACTTTCACACACATATAAAACAATTGAAAAATACCATACTTCTAAAATATTTGTTTAGTTGACTGTGTTTGGCAGTTATGCAATGATGTAGTCATCTTCTATGTGTGATCAGCAAATCAGGTCACAATGCTGAGCCAAAATAAGAAGTGGTTTCCTGGAATATGACTTGGCAACTTTTAAAAAAAATCTTTCAAAAGATCAAAGGAGAAAGAAATGATGTCAGAAGACCCAGGGATGAAATATATCTTTGGACTTGGAGTTCCTACACTGAGAATCTCCTAAACCTCAGGAGATGGGTGATGCAAAGACAGGCAGATCTCCAATGATGCCAGATCCACAGATGTTAAAAGGAGATCAAGCATTTCCCCGAGAGTTGACATAGTGAGAAAGCCTTGCTCTAGAACTGGCCTCTTGAATTCAGACTTTGGCTTCCTGTGACAGTCATAGTGCTATTATAGCAGCACAAGGGAACTGAACCTGTAATTAAGCAGTTAGCAGTTTGTACCACCAGGAGCTCCAAATAGTTAATAATGTCTGCAAAAGACTTCTTTGAAGCGTTAGTGAGAAAGTTCTCACCTGAGGACTAAGGTAGTCCTAATCCAAGCCATGGTATTTTCAGTTGCCTCATATGCTGAAGAAGAAACTCATGAGTTATGGTGTTAACAAAGAATACTGAATATACTACAGGCTGTAGTATATATGAAGAATGAACACATATATCCTGGAAGTACAGTCAGAATGCACTTTGTGCGTATTATCCAGGAGGCGCCTGCTGGTCCTTGGAGAAGGGCATATTTGGTAAAGTACAAGTTCCATGTAAAAGAGGAAGACACTCAAGAGGTCTTGATGGGGCAGCAATGGGCTCAAGAAGCAGTGTTTGTGGGATGGTGCACGGTTTTGTTCTGTTGCTTACAGAGTCTCTATAGTTGGACCCAACTCCACAGCAGCCATCATCATCGCTACCACCACTTATTTTCTTCAACTTTCTCTTCTCGTAATACTTGACCCTGGGATCTCCATTTCTGAACTCCCCTTCAGCCTCTGCCATCTTTCCCCTGTTACATAACAGTGCAGATTCATTGCCTTGCAGGCCATCAGAGACAAATGAAAAAATGAAGAGGGGAAAAGTGGCTGTTCCCCCAGGTCTGACTGGTTCCAGGATAGTTTCTGCACCTTGCCAATCCCCGGAGCTCCACGAGGGGGCGGGCTTCTCCCTCCTATGCTAAACTCAGAACCCAGTAATTTTCCCCACACGTGTCCCTGAAACCCAGTGTCCACAGGCTCTCAGTGTCCTGCTTTGACACCCCTGGGTTTTGGAGGTGCTCAACCTCAGGCCTGGTCAAGACTGCCTGACCCCTCTGGAAGGGGTCACTCCCAAGCTAGATTGACTGGGATGTCAGTCTTAAAGTAGCCACTGAGTCTCTGAGGTCAGCTGCCTCAGGTCTCCAGCGTTGTCCACATCCTGCCCACGATCTGTCCTATGTTGCTCCCACTATACATGGAAAATGGCTCTCTGGTGTATTTTGGGGAAAGGATATACCATTCAAAGGATATGGGCAAAGTAGTCAGTGTTCCCATCTTCAGAAGCCATCCCAGAAAGTCATTGTGGAAAGTTCTAGGGACTTTTAGGGAGGTTGTGGTGCTTGTCATCAAGCTATTAAAGGACTGTTCTGTTAACATGGGTTCAGAGTGGAAGAGGTTAATGCCATGTGAAGAAAACATTTTGGGGCAACCAGAGTCCTT